GAGCAGGGAACCCGATGCGGGGCTCGATCCCAGGACCCTGGGATCATGACCTGAGCTGAAGGCAGACGCTTAACGACTGAGCCACCCAGGCACCCCTCCATTTTTAATAATAAATGAATATTAGATAGTTTCAACAGAAATTTGGAATCTATAGTATAGAATCTAATAGATGCTTCAGGTCAGGAAGGAGTTGGATCTTATTACACTTATTTCCCTGTGCATGATACCCAAAAGTGCTAAAGAATTAACAGAAGACATGAACAGACATTTTCCCAAAGAAGACCTACAGATGGCAACAGACACATGAAAAGATGCTCACCATCACTGATGATCAGGGAAACAGAAATCAAAACTACAATGAGGTATCACCTCACACCTGTCAGAATGGCTAAAATCAACAACACAAGAAATAACAGGTGCTGGCAAGGATGTGCAGAAAAAGAAACCCTCTTGCACTGTTGGTGGGAATGCAAACTGGTGCAGCCACCTTGGAAAACGGTATGGAGGTTCTTCAAAAAGTTAAAAATAGAACTACCCTATGATTCAGCAATTGCACTATTAAGTATTTCCCCCAAAGAATATAAAAACACTAATTCAAAGGGATACATGTGCCCCAATGTTTATAGCAGCATTATCTACTGGAGTATCACTTGGCCATTAAAAAAGAATGAAATCTTGCCATTTGCAAAGACATAGATGGAGCTACAGTATTATGCTAAGCAAAATAAATCAGTCAGAGAAAGACAAATACCATATGATTTCATTCATATGTGGAATTTAAGAAACAAAACAAGAAACACAACATACAAAGGGAAAAAGAGAGAGAGAGTGAGGCAAACCAAGAAACAGACTCTTAACTATAGAGAATAAACTGATGATTATCAAAGGGGAGGTAGATGGGGGTGTGGGTTAAACAGATGATAGAGATTAAGGAGTACACTTGTTATGATGAGCACTGGGTGTTGTATGGAAGTGTTGAATCACTATATTACACATCTGAAACTAATATTACTAACTGGAATTTAAATAAAAACTTAAAAAAAAAAACCACCAGAAGCTAGCATTACTGGTTGGAAGTCCATGCTCAAAGGAAATACCTATAAACAGGGACAGTCTTTGTGACTTTCAGCCTAAGGCCAGGTATAATTGACATGGCATGTGGGTTCACAGACCATTCATGAAAAAAAAAAAAAAGAAAAGATACTCCAGGCCTGGGAAATTAAACATCTGACATGAAGAAATGGTGGCTGCTGTATAGATATGCAAAAGGGAAGACTTTAGAAAAAGAATCCTCCAAATTCTGTCTCCCACATTTCTGGCTGGCTCCTGAAACATTCATACATGGAGCAGCCTCAACACTGAACCTAGCTAAAGACTAAAGATCTCAACTGAGTCCAGAGCTGCTGCCCACTGTCTACAGTTGCCATTCTGAATTTAACCAAGAGCACTGCATGATAAAAGAAACAAAAAATCACCAGTCATCGAGAAAAACAATAGAATCCAGACGCCCTAATAGCATGTATAATGTCCATAATGTCAAAGAATATCTCTCAAGGCCATGAAAACTAAATTGATATGTAAACAACGGCCCATAGAACTGATCTAGAATGTGTT